GGAGCAGGAGTCTGTAAGGGAAGGGGTCCTCGGGTCCCCAGGGCCTTTCTGTAGTACCCACTGGCATGAATCCTACAGGATCCTCGCCTCAGACCACCAAGACTTATTTTGAGACTAGTATAAAATGGGTCTGGAATCTTCTGGAAACAATTCAGGAACAGTGGTGAGAGCTCAGAGTTGGATTCTGCCCCTTTTCAACCCAGGACTCAGGACTTGATCCTTAAACCCTGTGCCTCGATTTCCTCACCATCATCCCTGCCTTCTCCATCGAGGTGGTTGGAAGGTCTGGTGAGAAGCTACAAGATACTGTTTTGTAGAGTCGAGTCTAAGAGGTAAGGAATAATGGTGGCGTAGTTGCTTTGGGCTGCTAACTACAAGGTCAGCAGTTCAAAATGACCTGCCCCTCTGAGGGAGCAAGATGAAGCTTTCCACTCCCCAAAACAGTTATAGTCTTGGAAACACAAAGGGGCAGTTCTACCTTGAGCAGTGGTTCTAGAGCAGTGGTTCTCAACCTTCCTAATGCCACGACCCTTTAATACAGTTCCTCATGTTGTGGTGACCCCAATCACAAAATTATTTTTGTTGCTACTTCATAACTCTCATTTTGCTACTGTTACGGATTGGGCAAACCCTGTGAAAGGGTTGTTCGACCCCCAAAGGGGTCGCGACCCACAGGTTGAGAACTGCTGTCTTAGAGGGTCGCTATGAGTTGGTTCATGCCAGCATTTCCCAAATGTCACTACCTGACTAGGTGGCTGTCCTTGCCATTCATTGTGCCCTTTCATGGCAAGTATTTATTGAGTGCCCACTGTGTGCCAGGCTCAGGGTAGGAGAGGGTGGGAAGCCAGGGCTGAGAGGAGTAAGCTCAGAGTGGTCGACTGCTGCTGTTAGTGAGGCAGCCAGTGTGTGCGCATGTGCATCTGTGGCTGCCCCCAGGTGCATCCTTTGGAGAAAGGAAGAGAGGCAGGTGGGGCTGTGCGATTCTGGGCTGGTCACTCGGGCTTTCTGTGTCCGAGGAGAGTGGCTGCTGCCTCTGTCCCCCATTCTGAGTTGTGGCCTGGGTCTTCTGGGCTCACTCACCTTCTTCAGGACCACAAACTCATTCTCAGCAGTGGCTCTTAGTGTCACTTCTTCCTCATACCTAAGGACAAACAGGACAAGGCTCAGCGGCTGGAACTTCAAGAGGCTGGGATTTGGCGGGGGAGGCAGAGAAAGCCCTAGACAAACAGGCTCCAGGACTCGGGTTGTTTGGGTGGTCACAGAGTCAAAGAGTGCTTGTCCAGAAAGGGTCTGCCTGTCCCTTTCTGCTGGACACGGAATCAACTCACATCAACCAACGTTCTTCCTGTTTCAGGGACTCTTACTCCTCTTGTAACCAGAGCCCTGGCCACGTAGTGATTTCTCAGTGGGCTGCGAACAGCAAGGTTGGCCAGGGGAAGCCACCAGGTGCTTGTGGGAGGATGAGGTTTTCTACTCTAGTGAAGTTAGTCTCAGAAACCCTCAGGGGGAGTTCTACCCTGTCCTCTGGGGTGCCTGTAAGTCAGCATGGAACGGATAGCGGTGGTTTTTTTTTTTTTTT